TATAAATTAATTAAATTTAATATTCCTATATGCCACTAAAATTTACCGGACATATACACTGGTAGACGTGGTAAAAATGAAGTCAATAACTCGAGGTCCTAAATTAAACTACCCAACGCCAAAAAGCAAGTGTAGAGTGGCGTAAATTTTGCCGGATATCCCCTTATCAACCCTTCAGTGTGCACCCTGATGAATCTCCACGGCCACCATGTTCAGTGATTTAGGCCTACCGTAAACACACGATTATAACACATCTACACTTTTAATATCTATACTAATATTATGAAGCTGAAGAGTTTGTTGGTTTTAGAAAAGGTGGAGAGATAGAAATTTTTTGTGTTGTTGGGGCTAATGATTGAGGAAGGCCTTAAGCTATAAAACATCACGCATATATCAAAGAAGCGAAAAAACTATGGGAAATGTGGAGCAAACGGGGGAAATTAATCTTCTTTTGAGAGTTTCCGTTCCGAGCGCTAAAACCGTTCAAGATACCCAAAAAATATGTATCAAAGAATTATTCCTTTTTAAATGATCTAAAAAAATGTCCGTAACAGTTAGAATACTTTTAAGATTAACTTGCTAAACGACGGGACGCGACAGACGTCATGTTTAACCGTTTAAGGTTATAAAGGTGAAGAGGAGATTTGCAAAAACAGATTTTGACACCCAAAATAACCATATTACGTGGATGAAGTCGTTGACACAGCTAGTCATTAATATTAGAGTGAGAATTTCAAGATCAATAAAACTCTTTGGAAGGCCTTGTCTGTAAATAAGTCATCTGTATGTAAGTTCGTTAAAATAAAATTTGAAGTTTAGTTAAAATAAACCAACTGAAAATATATTTCTTTTTAATAAACCAATGTTTCGTTGCTCCACCAGTAAAACGTCTTCAATTTCGTTAATTCACTTAGTGGATCTATAATAAAAAAAAAAAAAAAAAAAAAAAAAAAAAAAAGGTTAAACCCCCCCCGCGGGGGGGGGGGGGGGGGGGGGGGGGGGGGGGGGGGGGGCCCCCCCCGCCCCCCCCCCCCCAAAAAACCCGGGGGGGGGCCCCCGGGGGGCGGGGGAAAAAAAAAATTTTAAAAAAAGTTTAAAATGTTTTAAACGTTTAAGTGTTTTATTGATCTAAATTAAGATACCGACTTATCATATTTACTTAATGTCCCTTAAAAAATTAAAGATACATCTAATAAAATGACGCAAACATTTCAGTATTTTTTGAACAAGTACAAACTTCGGAATAGAAAAAGCCTATCAATATTCAATAAAACCATACAAACTCGTTTATACATTCCATGAATTCTAAACTGTTGTTTACAATATTTTATTGGAAGCATTCTTTGTTTTGTGCGCAAAAACTTTTATATATAGAAAATTTGATGATAAGTTTTAAAGAATTTAAATGAAACACTTTTAACAGGTTTAAACGTGAGATATATTCTTAAATGTTTTAATGTAATTTAACTACAGCTCAACGTTTCGGATGCTTTGCAGCAATCGTGGTCATGACTAAAGATAGTTGGTAGCTCAAAGACGAAACAGATGGCGCTAGCGTAGCAGATTGAGATTCAGATGTATTTCTACCACCAATTTAAAGTCCAGATTTCCAGACGAAGCCATTTTTCAGAAAACAAATGTAAATTGATACGGACCCTGTTGGACCCGCTGGGAATTGAATCCACAACCCGTTGCTTAGCTATCAATCAACAAATTTTATTTTTTATTGCTACCATTAGACCGATGATTACGTTTTATTAACAGGTAATACTTGATTAAACGTGTGCAACTATGTCCAGGTTTTCCAGCGCTTAAAGTAAAGATGAGCAATCAGACCCATAGGCATATGCTAATAATGAATTATTTAGATGTTTCCCTGGAATTAATAGAGTGTTTCAGCAAAGGGTATGCAAGAACGGCTATTGCGGTCAGCAGCCCCGGCTCGAATATTATGTTAGGATCTGATGGAATTCCACTGACTTAAATATTTGTGGTATCTTCGGCTTGTGGTCAATCTTGGAACATGGGCTGTGGCATAAACATAATCTATTTGACCTGCTATTTGACTACATAATGTATATTTGAGAATTTTTTTACAGTAACAGTAGCGAATGTTACATATTATGCCTGATACATACATTGCATAGTATGTATGTGGGCCTACTCGTCCCATCTGTTTATATAGTGACGGTTTCAATTCTCTGTTGTATTAAATATGTTATGGATATCTGAAGTTTTTAGACCCGGTATACTTTTAACGGTTGCAAACCGTGAAATATGACATTAGACACGGCGTCTTTAGGTCATTTGACCACGGCTGATGCAAAACAACGAAACGATATTTATTGCTTCGTTTAAGAATATTTTATACACTTAGTATATTCACAATAGAGTCATTAGTATATTACGTTGCATCTTATGGATTTTCACTACTTGGTAAAGAAAATGCTGCAAAGTAAGTGAGAGTTTAAGCTTTATCCTTTTAAATATATTTTACTTATTATAGTTATTTGAATTGATTTTTATAAAAATTTTATTTCAACGCAACGAATTTAGTTGTAATGAACTCTTAAATTAATAAAGTACTTATGTTCGTAGTTGAACACCATATATCAGGTTTCCACTCAGTCAAAGAGGTTTTCGTAATTTCTTAAAGCGACCTGATTTGTAACTGTAAAGTAAAGTGATTTTGGTAACCTATAACCTATTACCGTCGACGTACCCCGATTTTGTTGTAACGGCTTCCATATTCACAATCCTCGATAAGACGCAGAACAAGCCATTAATCTCAGTCTGAAAGTGCTCCAACGCGTGTTTTGTGCTTACGATACAAATATTAAAAACATGTTAATATATTAAGAGGGACTATACATCCTCTCACCCTAAAGTTATTAAATCACAACATTGAGACCTGAAAAAACAGTTTTATTATTTTTTTAATATTGTAGATGTCTATGGCATAAGCGGAATGCAGGCTTAGGTCAGATAGAGGCAGACCTTGCTACGGCTCTTACTTAAACTTACACTCATACTTTAAATAAGTACGGAGGATGTCAAATGTAGTCAATTTAATAGTAGTTACATCCTGACGTATCCGCGGCCACGGGCCGTGTTCTTGAACTTGTCTAACATTTTACGTTTTTTTTATTAAAGGACACTATAAAACAAAACATTCATTAATCTCAAATAATAGTTACAAAATATCCTTTGTAAAACTTTTCAAATTTATTTTCACAATGTTTTAATCATAAAAATTAATATAAGACCCGACGAAATAATTAATAATACAACAGTGTAAAAGCGCTTTTATACTGTGCGTTAGTCTGAGCATAAGATTAATAGCAGCATACACGAAGAAATCATCAAGACATGATTTATTGATATCACACTTAAATAACCACAAGTATGTAGATGTTAAAATATCCCTTTTGTTATTTAGGCGTAGGATACGGAGATAAGCATTCTATCCATCTTTTACGCTCATTGAACAAACAGTTCAAGTACATATTATTTGCATTTCTCCGGTGTTCAAAGAAAACTTTATCTTTAATATAAATTAATTGAAAAAATATAGACACTAAAATGTCATACTCGTATGTTTATAATAAAGAAAAACAAAATCTGCAAGTAATAGCACAATAATATTTCTTAGTTTATTCTTATGTTTTTGTTTAGCTGTTTTAGTTTTTGTGCAATAAAGTGTAAATGAATAAATAAAAATAAATATGAATTTAGATCCCTTGTTGATCTATTTTGGATATGGAAAGCACACACAAAAGCTGACTGTCCGAATTTACCCCTTTTCATACATTTCACCAACCAACTCTAGGGTCGTGGTTCGTGCCCGGCTGGTATTTCAATATTCCTACCATCCATTTTATAAAAACAAACTTACTTTACAAAGAAGCTGAAGATTATGGGAGAAGTTGATTATAAGCCATACTGTGCCGCAACCAAGCTATGATTTCGATTATGATCGTGTTATCATTATGAAAAGTATAGTCGTTTATACCTTCTTGGGCTTTGACAAAAAACTCTTTGTGAAGCTTTTCTACAGCTTTTTTCGTTTGAGCAATATTATTCTAAACAACGGACCTTTTGATCAGTGAACGTAATCTGTTTAGTATTATGAAGACAAAAGTTTCGCCCATTAAGTTCGATTATAAGCCGCCTCGGAGGCTTTTTGTTGACCAGCGCGGAATTTATCCATTAGAAGTTTGACATGTACTTATTTGATGTCCATTAGGCCTGAACGAATCTGAGGGCTTTATAAAAAAAACAACAATGTTTACTGGGCCGAAAACATAGCTTTTCCGGAGTTAATGAACGCTTTTTATATTGTGTTCTTTTATAAAACATTTTTATGAACTTTATTAGTTTTATTTAAAGCTTATTAAATTTGTTTCAAATTCTATCAATAAAAATTAATAATTCACAATTGATAACTTCTTAAAACCATTTAAGGACTTTGTCTAGAAAATGTGGACGTTACTTGGGTGGTAGGAATAGGAAAATTTAATTCGAGCCCCTATCGTGGTCCGCTGATGACAAAGTCGTAAAGTATAAAATCGTTTCAGTTTCAGTCGGTGGATTTCGGAATTTTTAAGACGTCAATAACGTACCTCTTTTAATGTTACATGGTTAAGTATATTACTTTCTCTCATGTCAACACCATGCTTGTATGTCCCCATGTTAGGAGGAGATAAAAGTATTACTAAATAAGTATTTAGGACTTCATTGAATTTTAGCTAGCTTAAGTATGCAATTAAGTATGAAAGAATGTATAGAAGTGTATTATACTTCATTGAAAGCTTTTACTCTTGTAATGAAAATTTATAGATACCAAGATTATACGTAGAAGTATATAATATATTGCATGTTTGTAGGTATTTTGGTACAAAATGAGATAAATATTTATAGACAAATTTTGTAGTCAATCAACATACATTTTTTAAATTTAAAGTCGTAACCATCTAGATTTGTTAAAATGCGTTCACAAAATGGCAAAAGTGAAGCACCCCAAGTTCAACAACCCTATCGAGAAACAGTTCAACGCGATCACTCGTTACCACTACTGCCTCTTCCTCCTAATATTCGCGAGCAAGGTGCCGATCTTTTGGCACGTTCTGAACCTGATATTTTTGTCGCCGCCCATCGAATACTCGTGCAATGGAAACTCGAGTAATTTGTGTCCGTGCGACGCGCCTATGTGGGACAGGAGCGTATTTCGAGAGACGATGCAAACGAAATTCGGTATTCACTGTGAAAATTCCTGGTGGATAAGTTTCTCGCATAGCGTGAATTTTGTCGGTCTCCTGCTTGGCGCGTTGTTGTTCGGCTTTATGTCTGATAAGTATGCTTTTGTCATTTCCGGTTTTATTACTCGAATTAAAATCAACTTGTAAATATTATCATTTAATTTAGCATCTTTTTTTATACATTGTACAACTCACTAGAAAATATAAAGTTTTGACACAGCAGATGTAATCACGGGGACATTTGTCCACGGCTTCTTTAAAGTATCCAAATCTTCGATCGTACTTAAAATAAATAAACAATAAGTTAACTAATATATTTCCAGCTTTTAACCGTTTTATTTTAATATTCTGTAATTTGATGTAATTACTGTCGTAGTTCCTGAAGTCAGGTAGTAAACCCTGAAAGACTCAAAATAAGTTAAAGACAAGGATCACCTAACACTACAATCTTTATTCTATTTTTAGGTTTGGCCGTCTTTTAACCTTCAACGTATGCTGTCTCATACTAGCCATATCTGGATGTCTCATCAGCATTATGCCAACAATCGCTTCCTTCACCTTCATGCGCTGCCTCGAGGGTATCGGTTGTGGTGGGGCAATCATTACCGCTTTCGTCCTCTGCATCGAGTACTGCAACCTGAGGCACCGCGAAGTGATCACAGCTCTCTTTCACATACCCTCAAACATCAGCCACATTACTCTACCAGGGATATCTTACTTGTTCCGCCATTGTGATGACTTTCAGCTTGCTCTTTCCATTCCTGTATTCTTTTTTTTGAGTTCTTGGTGGTTGGTAATGGAGTCCCCGAAATGGTTGATGGATAATGGGAAAGTAGATGGAGCGGTCGCTGTGATGGAAAGATTTGGGAGGATGTAAGTATCATATTTGCCGTACTTAGGAGTATATTTTACATATTGGTATATTCGTCAAATCTACGGTAGTAGCCAATTATTTTTAATCATAATAAGTAAGTAAAAAATATAGATTTCAAAGTTAAATAAAAATACTCTGTGCAAATAATTATATAATAATAATGCACTGCCCTGTATTAATTATATTATACTAAGCTTTTTGTTACTTAAAATTATCTTCACATTTTTTTTAGAAATGGAAGGCCTTGCGAAAACATACAAAACGAGATCGAAGAATACCTATCTCACCGGAGTGAAAGGGCAAAGAAGAAAATTAAATTCTGGCACATATTCAGACACAAACAGCTCTCTTTAAACTTAGGCTGCATGTCTGTTATATATTTCCTCTGCGGCATGGGCTATTATGGTGTCTCACAGTATATTGGAAAAATGAGTGGTAACATCTATATCAATGTATCCATCTCTGGTTTTCTATTACTTCCTGGTACTCTGTCATCTATTTTCCTATTGCGTTGGCTTAACCGCAGAACCTTTTTAATGCTGACAATTTTCTTTTCCGGATTTTTTATGATTCTCGTTGTCTGTGTGCCGTTAAAATTACTCATCTTCAGAGTTATTCTAGCGTGTATTTGTAATTGTTTCTTCTTTATGTCTTTCATTATTGTATTTTTGTATGGTGTAGAGCTATTCCCTACGTCGGTTAGAAACTCCGTATTGGGTTTTCTATCTGTCCTGTCTAGAGTAGGTCAGATTTCAGCTCCTCTCATAAATTCACTATCAGAAACAACATCCGGACTTATTTTTGGTGTTCTTGCGTTGTTAGGTACTGTTCTGTGTTATTTTTTACCTGAAACTAAAAATTCGGAACTACCGTCTTCGCTCGACGACACGAATACGTTAACGAGAAGACGAACTATTTTAAAAGAAGACAATTCTGTTACTTTAGTAAGGAATATCTCAGTACCTCTTACACTAATTGATTAAGCCAACTGGTTAATAAAAGTACTTATAAATACATTTTTATGTATTTCTTTTTGTATTTGTAGAAAAAAAGCAAAATCTTTAATTTACCGTCGAAAAAAAACGTTTTTTTCTATTTATGTATAATTTGTTATTTCTGAAACCTAGTAGTAAAATTGCAACAGACATGAGAATAAACTAAAAATCGATATTAGATTTTTTTTTAATACGACACGGGATAGACTTGAACCGGCTCAAAAACGTTTCGTGCATGTGAAAAATATTAAAGTTTGGAAAATCCATAATCAAAAAAAGTAGCTAGACCTTTGCGACACAAATTCATCCATTCAAAGTATATATGCAATAAGTATTTAGTGAGTAAAATTTCCCTAGAGCTTTTTCAGAAATCATATAACCATATAGGAACACATTAATACCCTGTTAGCAACAGCCTTTCGGTTAATATTATTATTGCACCGCTTTATTTTCCAGAGTTATAAAATACTTTTATCAAAATTGTTGAACAAGCCGATAAAAAACAAGCTCTTCTGTGACACAGTTATTTTCAATAAGCTCCTTAACACCGAGATAATGAAAAAAGTTTTTATTACCACAATATCGGTGTTCCACACAACTTCCGAGTGGCTAAGAAATGGTTTACTTGTGTTTTCAACTTTTCGAATCGTTGTTTAACGCTTAGGACATAATGTCTGGTTTATTGCACAGCCACGAACTAATATAATATTGAACTTTATATATCTATACTAATATTGTAAAGTTGGAGAGCTTGTTTGTTTGAACGCGATGATCTCAGCAAGGTTCAAATTTGTCTTGCACTATTTATTGAGGAAGACTTTAATCTATAAAACATTGTTTAAGGCTTTGACCAATTGAAAAGATAATAAAGAATAAAAATTATTTTTCTTCAAATAATCTAAAAAAGTATCCGCGACAGTACATGTCTTTATGGTAGGCAATTTTGGTCAAAATACATTCTATATGGCAGGTCAGCTAGTGTTGAATATCAAAGCATAGCTGAGAACGATTTTATTTTCACGAACTCGTTGGTCTAAATGTAGCAATATATGTAAGTGTAAGACTAACTGTTGATACTACCAAAGTTACATCCGGGTAATGAACCACGGTCTTCAAATAGAAAATCCGTTAAGAGCATTTCAGTTTTAAACTATCGATTCCCGAATGCCCAAAGCCAAAATAGGTCGATAGCGCATTTTGCTTAAGAACTCTAAGCTTTTATCACTGTTAAAAAATGCGCTTTTCAGTAAAGGTATATACCGAACTAAACATAAAACTAAGGTAAATAAACAAACTTATTTTTTGGATTAAAAAAATGCCAATTACAAACTAGCTAGTAGTAAGTAGATTACAATAAAAAATGAAGTATTTAAGCATATTTAATAAAAGCTCTTCGTTGTATGCTTAGTCAAAAGTAACTACAAATTTAATTTCTTTATTAAAGCTTAGTCGCTTCACATAATTTTAATACAAAATTTTATGAACAATGTCGAAGCGAAGTAAATAATATTCGTCTTAAAGTCGTCGGTGGGTAAATTAATTTCCGTTGTTATGTAAGCTTGATGGGATCCTGTATAATCTCTCTCGAAGGACTGAGATTGAATGGTAAATTAACTATAAAATTATTACTTTATTGATATTACGAAATTCCCCGGTTTAAAATTGTTTACGGTATTAGTTTCTTCGCGTTTCTACTTTATATATTACGTATTACATTATGTCATTTAACGCAAATAGTATTTAACTCTTTTAACGGTTTAAAACGTTTCACATGCACATTTATTTTAAAGTTGCGTGAATACAAGTGTCTTAGTAGTTTTCTTAAACTACTTAGTATATTCTTCTGGGATATGAACCCAGGACGACGCTCGCTTCTCATGTAATTATCAAATTCTGTTTTTATCACACTAAAATATTTTTAAAATGATGATAATTGGTATTATAGAGAGCAGACAAAAGTCCACTTATTACGTTACGTTATTTTGGCTTTTGATTATCTAAATATATGTGATTATACTAAATCATGATCGTTACGCAAAATACTTAGAGACAGTACGGAGTTATTTTTATTTTATGTCTACTCGCGTGTCGAAAAAAGTGGGCGCGCGCTGTCGGCCATCGTACCACGTAGTCTCGACCCCACATGTCTTTAGAATACTAACTACGCCTTAATTCAAACAAGATATATTTTTGTTGAAATTCGGGGTCAACAAAGGACCCTTTGATTAGGGCATTCGCTGAGTTCTAATCTATTTTTAATTAAGAAAATTATTTGATTATTCCACTCAATGAAGGTAATTCGGATTAATTTTGTCCTTAAGCACCTAAGCTACTTAAATTTGAAACGTGACTGGACTCTAACGAGGCAGATTTAAAAATTTCAGGACGTTTTAGCTTTATTACTCCAAATTAAACATACCCTCTTCTGCTCTACTGTAAACTATTAAAAATAAACAAAGGTACCGTTCGCTTTTGTTAAACGATTTAAGATGGGCAAAGCTTATAATAGGCCAAAATCTTGTTGAACGTTGAGGATATGAATGTCAGACAATGGTTCTGTCATCGTCAAGATACCTACCTACGCCCGATCTTAGAGTCTAGTCTTCTCTGTGTCAAAAAATGTTATACACATACGTAGCGTTATATACATTTAAAAATCTATTTATAACGTAAAAAATGATGACATGCGCAGGGCTCGAACCGGCATCCACAGCTCTAACGCAGAGACGCGGTATTTCAATAGGTTCTGTAGATGTCGGTTCAAAACCCGCCCGTTTATTACAATCTAAATAAAACAGGTTCGGTTTAAGTATTATAAGAAAAGAGAATAGTAGTTTTTGAAAACGATATTAACAAAATTACAGAAATTGTAACCAACAATCGTTTTAAACCTGGTAAAAAACAAGATACTCAATATAATAATTATCAAAAAAAAGTCCAAAAGCTTTCGAAACAAAGTTTGCGTCCCTTTACCTCGTCGTCATCTCTTTAAAATGTTAATTAATGAATTTCCCTCGCAAACTTTTTAATTGATCGGATTTCGGTAATTTAATTAAAAATACAGTGCTGTTAAGTGGGTTGATAATTGTAGCCTCGCCTTATAACGAAGATATTTATCACGGTTTATTTTTTGGTAGAGAATATTACAAAAAACTATACATTGAATAGACAAATAAACAGCCCCAAAAAATCGAAGTTACGTTTTTTACCTAATTTTTTATCAGAAATAAATACTGCGTCGATTGGTCTTTTTCTCATATTTCTACGAGAAAAAAATAAAACATCACATACGCCGTCAGGTTTTTGAAAAATATTAGTGTTTTTTAGTCGTAAGTTACCAAAAACTAGTATTTTTTATGCATTTGCCATACGCCATTTTTGCAGTAAGCAAATTTTTCAAACTGTGGCTTACGCCAGTTTATCGGGTTGATATTTTTTCATTATTAAAAAAAATCTACCTAACTATGCAAAAGAATTTCTGGACCTAGAGCATAATAATAATACAGTAGATCGCTTGCCAGATACTGATGAGAAGAGGATTGAAAATGTTTAATTTTGTGATGTTTTTTATATCTGATTTGAATTTTAATTCTATTTTTATTTTTTCTTGACATTTTATTAAATACCCAAGTATTAAATGTTATTTTATTAATAATTATCTTTATTTCATTTATAATTTGATTTTGTTGACTATGTTATTAGTCATTAAAATAATAAGTTTTAATAAAAAGAGCAATGTTTAGATTTTCAAAGTCTTTCATTCGTGAAACAGTTTCCGTTAAATCGATAATATCGATGCAAGACAATTATTCACCACGGCTAACGCCTTTTTAACTATACTTAAAAAAGGTCAGGTTATAGGTCTTTACAGCATTTTATAGATGTAAACGTTATAAAATATATATTTAGTTGCCGTAGAAAAATCCCTAAGGCTACAGCGTTATGTAGATCAATGAAAAATAATTAGTTTGTTGTAACAACATGAACAACAGTTGAATGAGTAGGATATCTTTATTGCCAACATATTATAAAATGAAAAAATAAAAATACCTTTTTAAAATCGTGTTCCTACGATGCGTAGTTTTTGAGTTACGATGTTTTTTTAATCACAAAAAAGTTTTTTGGCTCTGGTGAACATTTATTATTTTGCGACTAACAGCAAATACGTTGTTTTGTCAAGGAATGCTTTAGGCTATATAACATCACGCTGCGAACTACCAGGAACAAAAAAAAAAAATATTTACAAAGGAATGATTCCCCATTCATTGATGTAATAAACATATATCAACTCACAGGAACCGTTTCAGGGTAAACACATTAGGTCGAAATTAACGCATAATGATAAATTATTTGTTAGAGTTGTATTAATAGTATTGCAAAACAAATCAACGTCTGCCGGATCAGCTAGTTTCATATAACCTAACATGAAAAACTAAAAGTATATGCTATATAACCTAGAGGTACGCAATAAACTTACACAATGCTGTCACTCTGTTCGTTTGAGTTATTTTATTTGTTACACTACATCGGTGCAATGAACGGGGACAGCTAAAACGGTACACACTTTCAACAAAACGTATTATAGCTAAGTTCTATTATCTAAGTACTTACCTTTGCTCCACTGGCGTCTCCTGAATTACGTTTGCTGTTATCGCGATGTGTCTGGGTGTACAGAAGTTTGGATTAGTATAAAAGTTTACTGCGTTGTACACTTATTCTAGAATACGTAATCACTCTTCAAATTGCACGAAACTCGCGGAAACTGTTACAAAACAATAATTCTTGCACAGTCTCGTGGGTCGTTACATATAACTAAACTAAATAAACTTATAAACAATTGACAGCCACAACTGCGCGCGACCGATGCGCGCCGGATCGCGAAAAACATAACTACCCCCGAAAACATTTTTATTTTATTTTATGTTTTATATAAATAGGCATATTTCACTGAAATTAAACTTTAGTAAATTAGTATGGATACTAACAATAAATTTGTTAAACCTACAAGTAGAACGCTAAAAGCAGACCGCTGTAAGTACTTGGCGGTTGCTTGACGTATTATTAGCCTAGGATCTTACTCTGCGGTTGTCAGACACAGGGTGCATTACAGGTGCATGAATAAACTATGTAATTCCCGTTATGTGCACACATGTAGATAAATGGATGTTCAAAAATGTAGTATATATTTTAGCCTGTTATAAAACGGTAAATTAAATTATTAAAAAAACGTTTATGGCGTTTGTCTTTTAGGGTTGTGGGTTCGATTCCGATCTTTCCTGCATTTCAATTTTTTAACAAGTTTTAAGTTTTTAAATTATATAAATAACTCCTGCTGTTATTCTCTCGGCGAAGCTCTCTTTTAAAGCCATTATAGAAAACACAATTTCATGAAATTACAATTTATTAGATACATTATTAATCAAATGATGATGATGAGATCTTTTCAGATGCAATAAAGACACAAATTTGGCGAATGTCTAAATCACAATATTATGAACTAGAAAATCTACAAATCATTTATGTCCCTTCTCTAAGTCATATCTTGTCTAATATAAAAAAAAAGGATAAAGTAAAAAAATACTTAACTTTTTGTCAAAGCTAATAACGGTTTAAAACTAACCTAAAGTAATTTTAAACATTAAGTGTAATAATATTACAATAATACAAAAAATAAATAATATTCAGACTCTATAATAACATGCAAATGAATAATAAAATCTTTGAAACAAACATGCAAGTTTTTTTTATAGTCCAAAAACTACCCAATTGGATTGAATTTGAGTCATTTGGAAACATATTTTTCTTACAAGAAACACGCAAAATCTCGTAATCATGTCTGGTAAAATGATAAGTTAGAATTAGTTCAGCGAAGATCTATGATCAGCTTCGGCTAGGCGATGTCGACACGGCTAGTTAATTCTAGCCAAAGTTCCGTAACAAGCTTATGCAGTTGATCTAGACAAAGGTAAGACTAGACAGCGTACTTAGGCAATACGTAATATTAATTCTACATTCCTTATCAAAACAGTGACTACCTATGCTTTGAATTGCGTCTTAGATCATAACTTAATATAAGCAACGTAATATTGTACTAATGAACGGAAACAACAGGTCAGGACTTTAATAAAAAATCTATCTGAAGTCAGATGAATCACCAAAAATGTAATCGTACAAATTAAACATCTACTTAGATTTAATAAGAAAAAAATACGACACGGGCGGGACTTTTCGAATTGAGATATCGCTTCTTAATAACATCGGTTAGGGCAGCGGCATGGAACGCTGTGGATGTCAGTTCAAGTCTCGCCGGTGTCGTCAAATAGTTTTAATCCAAGTATATTTTCAATTTAAATATAATACCATCATCAAACTAAACTATTTGTCGGCGGCCTATATGGCTAAGATCAAATAAAAACTTTACCTCTAGTGGATAGAAAATCGCAGAAATATTATACGAGTGACTTTAGTAGGGTAACACCTGTATTCAGATTTTGTAAGCACTACTTTTAATCTTAAGCTCTGTCCCTGTTCAGTTCTTAAGTTAAATCAATTGTCTAATTGGTATGAGCGAAAGGAGGCCAATTCCTTTATAGGCTGGTGATAAGTCCACACTCCCGGACCACTTGCTCCGTCGAAACAGGATTCAGGAACACTGAAAATGTACATCTCCATAAAATACCTACGTATAAACAAATTATAAATGTTGTGTGTGACTTGAGTAAAACAGGGAATATAATGTAATCTAGTTCTGGTCGTACCTAGAGTAATCTAATTCCTAAAACAACGAATTCAAATTCAATTTGATTGACATTTTAAGTGAATTCCTGTTTCCTCTTTGGGGCATATGGCTAACAAATGTGTGTTTGTTTGAGTTTAATTTGCAGGCCAGTAGTTGATCAGACTAGCATGCTATTTGTCCCAGGGATTCCATTCTAAGCTCTCTTTAGTCTAACGTTAGCAATGTATGGCTAATAATAATCGAGTGGAGGGTTCGTTCCCCAGCGGGCGCCCAACATGTTTTTTAACAATTTATAATTTTTTTGAAACATATTGGACTTCGTCTGGAAATCTGGATAATGGATGAATAGTAGGAATATCGTAATACTATTCTCACTAACCACCGTGGACAGATAAAAAGACGGTGAAGTATACTCTAGTGTTTCGGTATTAGTCTGGGGTGGTATCGAAGCCAAAAATAGACCTATTTTGGGTTTGAAAATATAGCGCATTTCATCAAGAGATATGGCGGTTATATGGCTAGGGTGTGGCTGCTTTTCTTTCCTCACCTATCATAAAAAAGGTGATTATCGATTCAACGCTCATTGCATATTAATCTTTTAATACAAAATTGAAATAAGCCCGCATTACGTGCAACATCTCGCACGGGGCAAAGCGACGTGCGCGTCATTAATAATTCCTGCGCAGGTGCACTTCGGCTTATGAATATAAAACTCACTTGTGCCCCCGTTGAATATGTCTTGATCGGGAATTATGCTAGCTGCTGCGATGGCGGCCTCATCTAATACTATGACCTGTAAAAACAAGCGCCCGATATATATTGATGGATAGACTTTACCGAGGCTAGGAGTTGTATTTTTTCTAGCTTATTTCAAATATTCAACGTAACTACAAACGTAAATAACATATATTCATATGTATTATTATGTGAAAACATGCTAACATTTAATCAAGTTTAAAAAATTAGGATTTAAAATTTACAAAGAAAATATTGATATAATAACGCGAAAGGGCGCGAAAGGAAATAATGTGTCATTATAAATTTAAACTTTTCAATAATCTATATTATGATAAACCTTCTGTGACGCAATATTATTCCAATTCTTAACTTAGTTATCACACTAAAAATGCAAAGAAAGGGTTTATAATTGAGCATTAGCGGAAGCTTAAAAAGATATAAACAAAATAACGTACGTAAAAAAGTTAAAATACCTTTGGACACTCAATTATATGAGCTTCAGGCAACTGATCAGTCTTATACTCCTTCCGCAGCGGCAGCAGGTCTATCGCGTTGGCGGCTAGGGACCAGAGATGACCAGCTCCTTGAGCGGCTCGCGCGCCCTTCCGAAAATGGGGGTTGATTGATAAATTGTGCCGAACAGAGTTCTTCCAGCGCTCGTCGTTCGCTTTGTAGAAAGGGAAGCGATCGCTGAAAAAGAAAACCAATTTCACTTACAAATACAGTACAATATGATCTTTGTAGTCTTAACTTAATCTTCGTGTGTTTATTTCTTGACAGGTAAAGAAACATTTTTATAAAAATTCACACTCGAAATTCTAATTACTTAAAAGCGAAGTTCCTCGAGTGTTTTTGTTTCATGATAAAGGAAGACAGGTAAGTTTCACAAACACCCCAGCCGTATAACATCCAAACAAGATGCGGTCGACCATTTTAGGCTTTGTATTTTTGGAAGGTGGTCGTCGTAGTTGTTAAATTGTCCTCGGTGTTTCACCTTCACGAGCGGATAACATCACGAAAGGCAGTCCTCTAAAAAGTGAAAGACTACTATTGAATTACGAGCACCAAAATGCCAAAAAGACCTGCTCAATGGCCGGAAACAAAAAGCGATAGCAGCTTTATTCTTTGTAGTTACAGTATTGTATCGCTGTACCTGGTTACTGGCTTCAGGTTACTTTAAACCAAACGATTAGATCAATGTTATTTTATTTCAGAAAGACAAAAAAATATATGTCCGATTGTATGTATGATTCTCGAACTCTAACCGTAACCATATACCGTGCCCATAATATCGTTACATTACGTACACTTATTAGGTTATAATAGAGTGACGTACTTAAATTAGATTCGACTGTTTGTAACCATGATTCATATATCAATGCATACAATATATAAGTACAGTTACGTATATAATGTTTATTTTTTTCTCTATTATATGTGGGACGCTATGCTCCCTCGTAGGAAATCGGTAGCGTCAAAGTGTCAAACCGCAGGCCCGTGCAAGCCGGCGCCGGCACCGCGCCCGATCAATTCCGCCTGGGCCCGCTGGGGCGTGATTGCGATCATTTGCCTATTAACCTCGCATCCGGACTTAGCGGGGGTCGGTTGTACCCACCTGTTCTGCCACGGCTATTAAATACGGCGAAGATTTCAATAAGACACGTTTAACTGTTTAAAACGCGAAATAAATTTCTAAACTTAGTTTAAATACGAACTGACATTTCTAGTGCTTTGCAGCGGCCGTGGTCACGGGGGACTAGAGATGGAGGGTGCCCAAATAATATCAAAGCCGCTAGCGCTATGTTTTTTCGTAGATTTAAGGGACTATCTTCTATTAAAAGCATTTAATTTAATTATAATAAACGATTTAGTCGATTAGACGATTGTCATTCTAAGCAATTTTTGATTCAAATACGTGAGTTTATTTACCGTCCCTTTTGTGGAGTCAATTAGAAAGAACAAAGAAAACAAATTAAAAAAATCATTTAATTATTTAATATATAATATAGAAGTAGCATTCAATTAAAAACGATGACGACGATTTAGTAAATTTAAATTGAAATAAAAGAACCAACGTCTTTGGTAAATTTAGTTTACGGAACGAGGCGAGGTGGTGCGTGACGTTATAATTTGTATACTGTGTATATTATATCTATATTTATATACTTCTTAAATAATAGATGTGGGTTTTTAACTTTTAAACTCGTATTTATAGGCCCACATGGGATAAAATTATAACAATAAATATCGAAAAAAATATATTTTCTGACCAAGGAAGTGGAGACGCCGTTGTCTGTAATTGGCAAAACCACTGGAGTTATAAATGTAAAAAAAAATATTTTTAAAGCACTTCTTTCGTGAATTAAGTTGATTTGGGACTAACTTGTACCCCATTGGAAGCGAATCAGCGTCAAGTGTTGTAATCTAATCAAGTTGTACAAGTGCTTTGATCCATACGTCGCTAATCAGACGCGATAACAGGCAGTAAGCTGCTTTGTATCGCGTATCATATTAATTTATTATCAAACCCTTGTTTGCGTTCGGTATCTACGATTAGAGCGATTACCTTGTACTAGACACTGTGCGTTAATTAATTAAGATATTACGATGGATGCACTTTACCTTCCGCAGGTATAAGAAAATTAACGGTACTTGGTTTTTAATCTATCCTCCTTTTTATAATATTTGTTTTTCCTTGCTGTTTTGTGTATTATAGGAAATGTTTCATTAATTGGCGAATAAAATTAATAAATTTTACTAAAATGTTGATTATATAATATATTATAATATGCTGATATATTGTATATCTTTCCTAAATCCCGTTTAACGCATTAAAACATCAAAGATTAACTAAAACTCATTTCAACTATGCTCCGGTAATAAGAATGCATTGCAGCTGCTGTGGTTATAATAATTAGTAAGTAAGTTTCACTAATACCCATCTAATCTGAATCTCTTGGGATCTGAATTCGTCTATGACCAAAGATATACTAAGCTCTAAGAAAAATAAGAAATAACCTAATCATTGTGTCCCCAACACATTGGGCCATCGGACGACTATCGTCACATGCTCAAAGAAGTCTTTACTTTTACAAGAGAAGAGATTGGTTTATTATTATTTATCTATATTCTATAATTAAAAATTACAAACAAAATTACTAATAGTTAAAGTAGCTCAAACACTTTTTTTATAACAACAAGTGACCTAAAAACCTAATGAAACTTAAAGGACCATCAATTACCCGTAATGATGTTAAAATGACAAAGTTTCGACAATGACAACGCCGTAAACTGTCACCCTCGAATGAAAAGATACAAAATGTAATAAAAGTCCAACAAAAGAATCGAAAAATTGCGTCGTTCGCATTAATTTGACCGGTTTTTAAATTTCGCGTTTACTCGTAGCATGATGGTTGTAATCCGTGCTATAAATAGTAGGTAAAAATATAAATCTATACTAATATACAAAGCTGAAGAGTTTGTTTGTTTGAACGCGCTAATCTCTGGAACTACTGTTTTGAATTGAAAAATTATTTGTGTCGGTTAGACCATTTATCGAGGAAAGTTATAGGCTATACAACTAATAGGAGCGAAGAAACAGCGGGAAATGTAGAAAAAACGGGGAAAATTATTTATCTTTGTTAGTCTCCGACACGTACGCTGCGAAAACGGTTCAAGTTATCTAAAAAATATGTATGAAAGAATGACTCTTCTTCAAATGATATGAAAAAATGACCGCGACATTATATGTCTATCTCTTAAGGTTATTTTTCATTATAAATATATTCTACCATTACAGAACAATATCCATTGCGATAGAATTATTAAATACATATTTCATGGAGTGATGTTTTTGTCAATTCACCCAAGCTGCACGTAAAATTGTCGATCCCCTCCTGCAGCTTGTTGATAACACGCAAAGTACGAATAATAAATTTAGGAAGATGAAGAGGAAGTTTACAAAAACAAATTGGACTGTCCAATATAATTACAAAGTTGCTGACGCAGCTAGTTTATAATATTTGCTGTAGTAGAATAAAAATCGAAGTCGACTTTGTTGAAATAATGATATGTTTTTTTAATATAGAAATTTAAAAATAACGCTGTCGGGCTGTCTGTGTAAACACCGCTGTGATTATATAAGTTCAATCGATTACACATATAACTATTATAGTTTTAAAATTGCCAAAGTATTAATTAAGCATTAACGGTAATTAACATTGAATTAATAATTGTTGGATAACATTTTAAATAAACAAATTCATTAAATTATCCAGAATTATTTTACTTAATAGTTGAGAATATTAAAATAGATTTTGTGTAAGGCTTTCACGGGTATCGTTTATCATATCATTATTTTTTGGGAGGTTCCGCCGACGTAAGCCAGAAGAGGTTCTCGAGGTTTTGTCATCGCCAGCGGACAGCATCATCAGGAGATGTTATTAGCTACTCAATTATATGCAAAACAGTTTTTATTTGGAAAAAAGGCTATAAATTTATTTTGCTACCTTGTGATAACTTTGTGACGGATAAATGTTTTTCAATAATTACAGTTGATACCTAACTATATTTAAATAAAATACTCTGAAGCTTTGAAACGTTATTAGATTAGTTAACTTATTTCCAATTTATTAAGTACGGCCCGACGTTAAAAAAATAAGTAAATTAATATTTTTCACGTTTATATTTTCTTAAAGCACTCAAACATAGCCATCTAGATTTTCGCAAACTTAGCAATATAAAATAATATGTTATAATATGCTTTTTACATATATACAAATTTATATTATATGAGAATTACATTATAAATTAGATTTTAAAGGCTATAACGACTGTACTATCTAAGTTCTATAACAAAATGACAAACTCACGAAATCCATTGGTAAATAGCCGAAACCGTAAGCTCTCCTTTTTCTCTCAAAGCACGTTCAATAAGTTCGGGGTAGGTATACGGCGGTTTCCTCGTCCCCGAAGTCTCCTCCGTGTGCTCTTCATCATCAGGGACTTTCACGTTGATGATCTCATCGAGACGGAAATTCAGAAGCCACGCCAGACTGGCACAATCATTGTCGTCATCATTTTTATTTTTTCTTCGCCATTTGGCTTTATCGCCGACCGTTCTGGTTGCCATCACTGACAGAAAGCGATTTGTACTAGGGTTTGAATGCGGCGTGCCAGCCCGTACTATCACCATAGATAAACGTGGGACGAAGGAGGTTATGCTCGAAAGAGTTTGCATTTTCTTTTAATACAATAAATTTCTAAATAAGTCACAACAAAAATAACTTTTTTACGTTAAAAAATATTTTTCTATGTGAAAAACTAAACTATATTTTTAATTTCGACATTAATTAATTAGTATCTATATTTTTTTAACAGTTATCATCTCAGGCTTAGCAAATAAAAAGAAATACGTGTTCTTAGGTTATAGACACTTTTGCGACAAAATGTTTATCATTATTTTAAATTCAGCCAGCTCGATTTTTAAAGCGTTTACAGAGTGTTGCATATATTTTAATTGTCTACCTATTGGTATTACAGTGTATATAAAAATAAAGCACTTTTTCGTCGTATACAAGATTAATCAATGTTTTTTTTTTTTAATTTATATAATGTAACATAGTAATTACTTAACACATGTCAAAATATCATCTTATAACTTCTTGAGAGATCATAAATTTTTTAATATACATATGTTCAAGTTATAGACACAACACAATTTGTTATATATTTTTTTATATTCAGCCAGCTTGTTTTTTACAGATCATATTTTTTACCTGTTTACTTATAATTGCTACAGCGTCTGTAAAGAAAATGATGTATAGTTTTACAAGTGCATTGTGTTATATACAATTAAATTTATACACAAAAAAAAAACAACATTTTTCGTTGTGTAAAAGTTTTTCTCTATGTTTCACAAAGAAAAAGAAAAAAAACAAAAAATCGGAGATATTCATTAGTAACTAAGAATGAACAGGTAAAATATTATCATATAATAAAAAAAAAAAAAAATTACAAAAAAAAAAAAAAACATACCTAAAATTGGTCGCTAGAATTAATAACCTAAAAATTTTCGCCAAATATTTCCCATGTCCTTCCTTTTCGATTTCGGTTAAAAGGGAGGAAAAAACATAGTCCATTGCACTTTGATGCAATGTATGAAAGCCCGCGCAAATTGGAAAAGTAATTGAATCGAACAATATTCGCAATATGTCGGAAACTCTCGACGCGGAAAATCATTACAATTTTCATGCAAGACGCCAATCAAAGTAACGACAATTAGTAAAAGATTACATACGGGCATATTTTGACAAAAGATTTGTTTCAATAGTGGCAACTAATATCGGATCATCGATTAGACTTCCGCCGGATCCAAAATATTTTAACAATAACAATTATTTTTAAACATGTAAAATTTAAAAATAATTTATTTTGAATAAGTTTAAATAAAACACTTGTTACGACTTAAAACGCGAAATATATTAGATAACTTATTTTTAATTTTATTTAGGGCCGTAGTTAAAATAAATTATATAAAGTTGTATTCACACAAGTCTCAATAAGTACACTAACAAAGTAGTATAATACGAGATTTAATATAAATCAAATTTAATATCATTGACCGCATTTAAATCAGGCTTCAATTAACAGCAAATAAAATGTAAATCAAACAATTTCACCGCAAAATTGTATGAAATATCTTTATTATCATTTAAATTTCGGCCGCAGAGTGTGGTGATACCATTAACCTATGCTAAGTTAAATTACACTTAACGAAATAATTCAATTTAAGTTCAACTATTTGCGGTTTGACCCACCGTATGTACACACAGTCGTTGTGTGTGTGTGTCTGCGTATACTATAGGGTGGTATTGTAAAGACTAATCGTTTTATCTGTCTATGCCTCACCGTAAAAAGGAGCTATCAATAGATCTGTTTAAAAGGTAGGTTTTGCCATCTTAGCTACCTCAAAAACAATAAGTGAAATAAAACGGTTTAAATAAAACTCTTTAACGGTTTACGCGATATATATTAGTCAAACTTCTTTGAAAATTATTTTTAACTTCGGCACGACGTTTCGGATGCTTCGCAGCAGCCATGGCCACGGGGAGACTTTAGTGGAGGATGTCTTTGACGCCAAAGTACGGGCCAGCGCCATCTGTTGAAACTACCGGGTCCTTGGAGAACTGACTAACGGTATTTTCGCATTTGCCGGTATGCTATTTATTGGAATCCAGAGAAGCAATTATTACTTTGACGTCAGTTATTCAGAGATAACACAATACATTTAGATTTACTTTAACTGGAGGTGATCGAAAGGAATTGTGAACACGGCTGCAAAGCATGCTAAACGTCATGCCATACTTAAAAAATACAAATAATTTGACAAAAATATTTCACGTAATTTAATTTAACTCTGGCCCAACATTTTTTTCACGTCCGACTTTGCAGCAGCCGTGATCATGTAGGGGAAGGGATATTCTCTCTAATGTCACAGTCAAAATGCAGCCATCTATTTTGTCGCAGCTGGTATTTGGAAAAACTGACTGAGTCCTTGCAAAACAGACTCACGTTGTATTTTTAACAGTAAGCTGTTTTTTAGAATCTATTGTTTTAAGTATGGAATTCCAGGTGTTTATATCTTAAAGCATATCATAATCAATTGTATCCTAATTACAATTGAATTAGAATAAGATTATGAATATATTTTGCATTTTACGCGTCCTTGTCTTTAAAAGGAAATATGTACATAACATTGCTAAGCACCGCTACGAAGATGAATTATAGGAAAAACAGGTAAGCTCCAATGCCACAGGTGCCCGAACTGTATGCTGTGTTGTGTATGCTATGTACTACTCGAGTTACCTACCCGTACATACAACACTTAAAATAGTACTATTATTAATATAGATTTCATTACACTTGTACAAGACAAGTTAAACGTGTTAATGACTTTTAGTATTTGTAGTATTTTTTTCGCAAACGACACGTGAATTTTGCCAGTGTTGCCAATTTTGAAAGTTGAACAAACTTCTGTGGTCTGCCCGATTATTTATTTAAATTTTAACTTAAGACCTCACGCTTAATGCTCGGCAACACGTATAACCATTCAGCTATGGGGGCGTTCGTACTTACTGTCCTTTGCCTGTCTTGGACAAAAACTCTTTTTCAATTCAACTGCCGCTTGCGCCCTAAAGTTTTTTTCGCGCCAACTAAAAATTTTATTGCACATCTAATTGAATCGAGTACCATATTCCTTCAATTTGCCTCGCTCTGGAAGCGAAGTCGTGATCCAATGATTCAATTACGCACACATTATATCACATGCATGCATGCACTGAAGTGGAAATATCATTTGTCTTGAAAGCTATGCGGTTCGCTTCATTTGCTTGTCTTTGAGTGCATTATGAGACTTGAAACACACTATAGTAGCATACATAAAGATGCAACATTAAGGAACACCTGTATAAGCGATAGATAGATAAGGAACATAAAAATTACAGGGCCAAGTTTTGTTTTTGTACGAATATTATGCAAATTACCAAAATATTGATTTGAGTATTTATAAATTCGTTTAGTAAAAGAAAATGTCTTTGTACAAAGGTCTAATTTTTGTAATCGTATAACTAAATGTCATAAAATTATTTTGTATATATATATATATATATATATATATATATATATATATATATACAAAATTTGTATAAACTATTCTTAGACTTCGGTGCGGTCCGAAAGCAACGCATGGCAACGCAGTCCTTGTATTTCAGATACTAAAGATAAATCTTTATTCTTTATTCAACATTAGTTAAGTAATAATAATAGTAAACTAATAGTAATAGGTATTCTATGCCTCTATTTTATCTTATACAGACAGGGGTTGTCAACCTACAGAACCATTAAAGACAGAATAATGTATTAGGCAGTGCTAGTGCAGTGAACGCTAAGTATTCGTATGTATTGGCGAATCGATAGGCACAAAGCGAGGCGAAGCTAACGCTTTTATCCAACCTCTATTCTTCACTCTAAACAAATTAGGGTTTGCCAACATTTGGTTCATTAATTATTTATATTTTCATTAATTTTTAATTCCATATGAAAATAAGGTCGCTTTGTAAGTATTTTATAACTTATAAACTATATTAATAATAATAAACGCGTTTTAAACCGTTAAAGTGTTTTATTTAAAATTAATTCTCCCTATAATCACTACAAAAATGTCTCTAATACATTATTTTTTCATTTCAACATTTCCAAGCAACGTAATACAAAAATTACAGTCAATATAAAAGCAAAAATTACATCAATGTCTTGTTATACGTTTCCTGTGTCAGACAATATGCTGTAACACGCGTGTTCAACAAACGTTGAGCGCACCTGGCCCGTACAGCTTATATAAGGCAGGTGAGAAGTTAATATTTGCGGTGGAACTCTCTCGGAATATTGATAGTACGAGTGACATGGGTTCAACACCTCGAAGCTCTCTGTCTGGAATAACGACTGATATTATATTACTAGATCACAGGTGTATCGATCGATTTCATGCAGCGTAAAACATAAATTGAGTGCCAAATATAGGTAAATACTCTCTGTAGCTAACGGGAGTAGTACTTATTTAAATGAAAAATTTAAACGGTTTAAAACGCGACATATATTCGTTAAACTTATTTGGAAATTATTTTAACTACGGCTCGACGTTTCGGATGCTTTGCAGCAGCCATGGTCACGGGAAGAATAAAGATAGAGGGTGTCTTTATTGTCAAAGTGAAAAGTGCTACGCTAGCGCCATCTGTTCCGTCGTAGTTGGTATTTGATTAACGGTGTCTTCACATTTGCGAGTATGCTATATTTTGGAACCCAGAGTTTTTAATATGGGATTCAGGTATTTGATAACTTGAGGCCCTCATCTCTATTGAAGGTTTTTATGTTTTTTAACGGTAGGGCCATAATCAAAGTAATTCTCAAATGAGTTCAACTAAAATGTATCGCCTTTTAAACTGTTGCGGTGTTTTATTTAAATAAAAGTATCTTTTCAAAGGAGTCTATCACTTTAAAGTGGATCTTGTTCATTTTGAAGAGATAATCAAGCGAAGGGGTTTCGGTTTAAAATATTTAGAGTTGATTAACGCGAGTATTTTACATGATCCGATGTACAAAGGAACTCGAAACGGGAGGGAACCGTGCTAAAACACACTCGAGTATTCTCAACTAGGAGCTTAAACAAAAATTCCTTACAAA